AAGGCTGGAGCACCCTCTGGGCAAGGAATTGTTCCTCAGCTCCATCTAAACCTGCCCTGGTGCAGCTTGAGGCCGTTTCCTCTTGTCCCATCCCTTGTTCCTTGGGAGCAGAGACCGGCCCCCTCCTGGCTCCATCCTCCTGTCAGGCAGTTGCAGAGAGCGATCAGGTCCCCCTGAGCCTTCTCTTCTCCACACTAAACCCCCCAGGTCCCTCAGCCCTTCCCCATCACACTTGTGCTCCAGGCCTTGCTCCAGCTCCAGTGCCCTTCTCTGGACCTGCTCCAGCACCTCTGCAATGGCTTTTAACAGCTCAGGAAGGCACTTCCCAGCAGTGACACCTTGGGTGACCCAGGGTCCCCGGCATTGACTCACCACCACTCCCCACCCTTTGTGGGGTTGCCTGCCTCCCATCTGAGCCACTCCATCCTCAAGCCTCTGCACAGGGTGAGATACACGCAGCACCTTGCCCTGGACCAGCCCCAAACGCCCACATGCTGCTCTGCTGATAGACCTGATTCATCCACCATTCATACTCCTCGGCATACCCTGCGCCACTTGCCCTCCTTCTGGGCTGAGCTCCTCAGCATCCTCCTGCCTGGGCACCATGATGGAGGTGGTCCTGCTCCATGGGTTGCTGCTCCTCCTGCCTTTGGCAGCCCTGCTGCTATACCGGTACAATGCCACCTTCCACTACTTCTGCAAGGTGACCTTCTTCAACTGCTGGATCATGGCCATGGCCACCCTCCTGTCCCCCTTCGCAGCTCTTCGAGGACGCTCTGTGGAGAACATGAAGTGAGTATGGCATGGGGATGCATGTTCGTTGTGGAAATGGCTGGGTGGAGGAGCTTGTGTGGGTTTGTGAACACATGCTGTCTACTGCCCTAGCCATACTGGTTGAGTCCCGGGGCTACATCAAGGGCTGTGGTCGTGTCCACATGGCAATGAAGTTTGTGTCTGCATCTTCTGGTGTGGTGAGGAGTTGCTGGCCGTCCCCAGGGAGGGTTACACCATGATGGAGGTGGCCAGCTAGATCAGAATTAATAGTCCCTGGAGGATGACATAGCAAAAAAGGGTTAGTTCTCGACCCCTCTGTTGGGGTCATCAGCTGAGTGGGTTATAGGGAGGGTTTGGCCAAGGTTGGAGGTACCATCATTAGCAGGATGGAAATGCACACCCATCACCATCTCCCTGCCCAGTGGGAGCCCCAGGGACTGTGCTTTGGCAGAGATTTGGGGATGTCTGGGTGCCATCAGCTGTGGGGCATGGTACAGTCCTATCCCGGACGTCAGCTCTGCTCCAGGGTGGTGACAGCCCAGATAACATCGCTGTGCAACACGAGAGGAAGGTCTGATTGCTTTCAAGTGTGTTGCAATCTTGACACTGGATTCCTGGGCATGATAAGCATACCAGGAGGGATGTCATTATGTCAGGGTGAAAGATGTCCAAGCTTGTGGCATTGCTGGGCTCGAGCCATCATGTGTTGGTGCCGATGGAATCTGGGCCCTCGGCAGGAGCGTGGCCAGAAGTTTGATGTTACCAGCCTGATGTGTAGCCTCTCTCCATGCAGAGATGCTGTGCACACACAGATGCACCCAGAGGTGTGCAAATGCTTCTGGCTCAGTGGAAATCCCCGGGTGACACAGTGTGACTCATGCTGCCTTATCTTGTCCCACCAACACCTCGCAGCCATCCTCCATGGGAACATCACGCCCAGCTTCGTCTCCTCCTCAGGCTCCAAATCCCGAAGCCTCCGGCTTGGAGCATGCTCCTGTCATTACTTCTGGCTTTGGGGCATTGCCATAAATGCTGTGCTTCTCTCCAGACACAGGGATCTCTGAGCCTACATCTCCCAATGGATAGGTGTTCACCTGATACAATGGACCCTCTAAACATCATGTCTCCTTCTTCCTCTGTGCCTACCTCTACTCTCCCCTCCCAAGCTTCTTCTCATCCCTCCCTGGTGCTGAGCTTCTGCTGACAGCCCCGTGCCCTGCCCCTGTGGGGTCCCTGGGACCAGTCGCTGCCAGATGTGTGGGTCTTGGCATGGACACTCTTCATGCCCTGGGTTGGAGAGTGCCCCATTTCAATGCTAAAGGCATATCAGCTCTTCATCTCCACTGTGGGTGCTGCAATCCCTGTTGCTTCATCCTCCCTCCGTTCCTTTCGTTACTCTCATACTGAGTGTCACCCTTCATCAGCTCTGCCATCTGGTCCAACCCTCTCTGGATGGTGACACTGCTCTTCCTTATTCCTCCTTCCATCCGCACAGATGAAAGGTCCATCTCTTCCTGACACTGCAGGTCCAGTGAAGCTGTTCTTTGTGATTTCCTCTGATGAATGAAGCAGAGTTGGTTTTCCCTTCCGTGCTCTCTTCCCCCTCCACCTGCAGCACAAAGCTTGGTGCCCACGGTGCTGCCCTTTGGCTGCTCTGCTGAGGCAGTCCCTGCAGACATCCACATCCCTTTAAAACCATCTAGACTGTTCCTCTGCATGTCCACCTTCATAGAATCATAGAATCAACTTGGTTGGAAAAGACCTTCAAGCTCATCAAGTCCAACCATTCCCCAGCATTTCCAAGGCCATCACTAACCCATGGGCTCGTCTACCCAGGGTGTGAACACCCGAAGGGCCGGTGACTCCGCCCCCGGGCACGCTGACTCCAGCCCGGCCCTGGGCAGCCTGTTCCAATGCCTGAGCACCCTCTGGGCAAGGAATTGTTCCTCAGCTCCAGCTAAACCTGCCCTGGGGCAGCTTGAGGCCGTTTCCTCTTGTCCTGTTCAGAGCTCATCCCCTTACAGCTCAGGCCCCCTCCATTGCTGTCCAGCTCCTCTGGCTTGATGCGTCTGCAGCGCTGGTGTCTGGGTTTCCAGCTGTACACCGGGTGAGCCTCAGGGTGTGAAGCTTACCTGGCCAAAGACTGTGGTCCTCACTGGGATGTGATGATTTGCACTTCGGCTGCAGGCAGACATCCCATCCCTTCTCTTCTTGCTTTCCTATCATCCCTGGACATCAGAAAGTCTGCTTTGCTCCCTTGTGCTGGCTGCTCTTCCTTAGCAGCAGCTCCAGTGCAGACTTTCTGCTACTGACAGCAGCTGGTCTCACCTTGGAGATGGTTACAAGGTTAGCTCTGAGCTATGCAGGCTACAGATGTGCTTAGAAAAGCAAAGACTGAATACAGATCCACTCTGGGACACAGCCTGTGCTCATTCAGACCAGATCTAGCCTGGCCCATCTTGTGCTTTGCTCCCTGAGTGGGAAAGCATCACTCAGCCCTGCTCTGTGTGATCTGCTCCCCATGTATGTTCCTCTGCCCTAGGCTCCTGCGTGCTGCGATCCTCCCCCTCAAACACTTGTATGGCATCAAGATGCAGGTGTGGGGCTTAGAGCACCTGAACACCGAGGAGCTCTACGTGATAGTTTGCAACCACCAAGCCTCCCTTGACCTCATGGGTATGTGCAAGGGAGATGGGGGGCTCAGCACTCATATGGGTAGCCTTTGGGGTGCTGCAGGGGTAGACCAGGCTCACCCTCTGGGGTCCCAGAGAGGCCAGGACCAGGGTTTGTCCAGAGCAGTGTGGTAGGCATAAGCCAGAAGAGGTGGTGGGACAGGAGCTCAGGGCTATGGGTGTGCTACAGAGAGAGAGTTGCACCAGTGGGGAATGATGCCAGGTCACTACAGCCACACAGTCACTACAGGGCTGGTTGGTGCTGGGTGCCATTGGGCAAGGATGGATCCTTTCCTCTCCCATCCATCCTCCAGGCATGGTGGAGGTTATCCCTGATCGCTGTGTGCCCATCGCCAAGAAGGAACTCCTATACATGGGCATGGTGGGATGGGCCTGCTGGCTCAGTGGTATCATCTTCATCGACCGCTACAGAAGAGAAGATGCCATCAATGTCATCTCCCAGACAGCCAGGACCATGCGGCATGAAAACGTGAGGGAGGGCAGCAAGGGGGGAGCTGGGGAGCAAACGCTAATGGGGCAAGGGGGTTGCCAGGGTGACTGGGTTGGGTCCGTGCTCACATCTCTCCCTGTCCTATGCAGCTCCGAGTTTGGGTTTTCCCTGAAGGCACTAGGAACCAGGACAAATCCATGCTGCCCTTCAAGCGTGGGGCTTTCCACTTGGCTGTGCAGGCTCAGGTAAGGCCCACTTTCCACTCCACTTGCCCTTGTTGGAGTGGGATGTGGGACATGAGGGTCTTGTGGGTTCTGCAGTCCCCAGGGACAGGCACCCTGTGAGGACACAGGGACCTGCTGAAGCCTGGGGCATGTCAGGAGCTGGAAAGGGTCTGTGTGATGGACACCCCTAACACTCCGTGTCCTCCAGGTTCCTATTTTCCCTATTGTGTTCTCCCCGTACTGTGACTTCTTCAGCTCCAAGGAGAAGAAATTCACCTCTGGTAAGTGCTGGACAAGAAGCCCCATTGCTGGAAGGTGGTCAGGGCTGATTGTAGGGATGAAGCATGTGGGGCTTGGAGGTCTGTTCGTGGAACACTGAGGCTGGTGGGGAGACCTGCTTCCCAGAAGGTTCATCTAACAACATCTCTGGTCTTTCCCTTCTCTATCCAGGGACATGCACCATACAAATCCTCCCCAAGGTGGAAACTCAGGGCCTGAGCTCCACGGATGTCCCTGAACTGACCGAGACTGTCCGCCAGGCCATGGTTGATGCCCTTGCTGAGATGTCTGCAAGTTGCTGTGGGGACCTGAGTTCTGAGCAGCCTCAGCTCCCACACTGTGCTGGGGCTGGGGCTGGCAGGGCAACGGGCAGCCTCCCATGCAAGGAGAACACAACTTGGACCAGCAATTAGGCACATGGATCAACCCCCTCTGGGCCACAGGGGAGGTGGCACAGCCAGAGGCTGGGCGATGCTGTCCCCTTGTCCCCTGTGGATGTGTCTGCCAGACCTGCCACTGCCACAGCAGCCTGGAGCAAGGGGAAGCAGAGCACTGCAGAATAGGGACTAGGCAGCACCCCAGAAACAGTGCAAGGTGCCCCTAAAACCCCTTGCTATGACTGTGCATCCCCTCCCCAGGGCATTGCCTGCCTCCTCCCAGCTTGGTGCTGTGTCTGGTCCTGGGTAACAAGCCCTGTCTGCCCGGATGGCTCCTGCCCACACACTGGGAAGGGGACAGAGATGTGCCAGGCAGGGCTGGGGCTTCACTGCACTGGTTTCCACCCCTGATGGTGTGTGACTCTCAGTGGGGTTCACCCATGGGCTTGCTGGGTTGCTTCTTCCAGAGGCTGCTGCAAGCTGGAGATGCTGCTCTGATGCACCAAGCTCTGGGCTGGGGTCCAGAGCACAGTGTGTGGCTTGGGGAGGAGCAGGAGGTCCAGGGGACATTGCCACGATGCTGAACTACAAGACAAGGGTGCAAGATTAAACAGTCCATAATCTGGTGCTGTGCGTGCACTGTGTCCTGCCTGTGCCTCGGGTGCTGAGGGGAGTGTGGGGAAGGGGATCCATCTCCTTATGGCCATGTGGGGTGTCTGTATCACTACACATAGAACATCTCTATGGACATGACAGCTTCTCTGAGGGCTGGAGCAGCTCTGCTCTGGAGCCAGGCTGAGAGAGCTGGGCTGGGGCAGCTGGAGAAGAGAAGGCTCCTGAAGGGGACACCTTAGAGCAGCTCCAGTGCCTAAAGGGGATACGAGAAACCTGGAGAGGGGCTTTTGTCTCCTGGCTCTTCATCTTTTCGAGCAGGACGCGGACGTTCATGCTCTGTGCAACTGCCTCGTCTCAGCCTCGAGCAGGCAATGGTCGAAGAAGCATCAATTGGACTTTTAGGTGGGAAAGCGAGGAGCGAGCCCAATGCAAGTGGCACCGTTGCG